GATGGAGAACCAGTGGAACTTGAAATCATTGGAATCGACCCCAGCATCCAGAACGTGTCCCTTAGCAAGAACGTGTGGCTGTACAACATTACTAAAGACCCGTTTGAGCAATATGACGTTTCAGAAAAATACCCGGATGTAGTGCGCCTCATGTTGGACAGACTAGAAACTATCCGGCAGATGGCACCACCTACAATATGGCCCGACCCAGATCCAGCCCTAAATGCAGCAACACAGAATGGTGTTTGGGGTCCGGCCGTTTATCCTACTAGTGGTTCCACCTCTGAAAGTGCTAATCGTTACTTTTGGCTTTATTTCCTCGCCTCAACGGCTTTTAATGTATTAATGTGAGACTATTTAAAGTTAAGAAGTACTGGTGGACTAGAACGAGTCTTTTAATACGATTTACCAAATGAAATCAAGTAGTTATGTCAGAATATAGCTCATTGATTTGATTACGTACAAGGAGAAGAAAGCAATAAAGGGCATCCTTTAAAGAAATAACTTTGCCTAACTCTTCAATTTATATGTGCCAAGCAAATAAAAAAGATATGAAAAATGTTGAACTACTAAATGGCACTTGTTGGTAATGTCTTGAAAAGACCTTTTCTTTTTAGAAAATAATTCCTTACGTATCAGACTATAAAAAAAATTAATACGTTAACGGTTCCTTAGTGTTTATTTATATTTATCTAACATATATTTTCTTAATTTTGTGTATAGAGACATAGACGAGAGTAAGATGCGTTTTTGAGTTGGAAAAGGTAAATTTTGAATAAAAATTCGATCCCGGTGTGATAGGAATTGTAGTCCGCTAGCAACCGTAGGCAGTTCCCCATTACTGTGTACAGGTGACATTTGTTCAATATACATATACTAACCACAACACTTCCTACTAACCCTTACCAGTTCTTATCATATGGATCCGCGGGCTTCCATTCCTAGAACTGCAATACCTGTCACACCGGACCTTTAAAGAAACGAAGGCCAAGTTTCACGTAAAAGGGCCCACTATTTTTCAGAAAGTGCCACCCTTGAGGCAATTTTTCTGGTACGTTTTAACATATTTCGTTCATTCGAAATTTCCCCTCAAGTTTCTGCCCACGATCCTTAAAAGAATATCATATGATTGATATGATACGTTTACTGTACTACCGGTAAAGCAATGTGTCAATTACGCTTGACGTGAATTTGTAATGTAACAGGCTGTTGAAAATATAGTTGGTCTTCAGATAATGATAAATGATAGAAATTAAAACTTTTGGACCTATTTTATGGTGGAGAGCAGGATGGGCCTGATGAGAAATTAACAAATTGTTCATTTGGCAGTAGTAGATCGGAAATATCCAGAAAAGGGGGGCACTGTGTGTGTGTGTGTGTGTGTGTGTGTGTGTGTGTGTATGCGTGCGTGTGCGTTTTCTTGATTGTAACGATCGCTGTGCTATTCTTTAGCCTTAACCTTAAAAACATGTTAAGTGTGAGATAATACACTGTCACCCGAACGATATATGCCATAACACCTCGAGCGTAAGCGAGAGGTGTTCATGGCATATATCGCGAGAGGGTGACAGTGTATTATTTGACATACATACAGAGAAAAAATACAGTCATTTCATCCTAAAACACCCCTAAAACCGAATAAAGTGACCCTATATCACGCTCTAGAGATGTTATACGGAATAAACTCGTCCATGTGCGCTGGTCACCTCCCGCCAAATTCTTACGTAATGTCTGACCAATTTGGTCAATTTTTGCTAAATACTTGTCGTGGACGTTCAACCGTCGACACTGACCATGCGCGTCTCAGCTGAGCCACACCTAGCTGGGACTGCTGTGGGAAAAGGTCCCAAGGCAAAACCTCTACTTTTTAGTGATATTTCTGATAAACTAGGAGCGTCGGACCAGAATATAGTGAAACTAATTTTTCACAAGTGCGAAGGAGAAAGAAATTTACTGTTTGGTGATATATCTGACAAGGAGGCAGTTTCGGAATATAGTCAAAGTCACACGGATGTTTATTACAAGTTCACTGGAGTAATAATTCTAGTTTTGTTGTTATTTCTGACGACGAGGCGGTTACGGAATATATATATAGTTAAAATCAAACGGAGGTTTATTTCAAGGCCACAGGAGTAATAAGTCTACGTTTTGGTGACATCTTTTACTACGAGGCGGTTTCGGAATATACACGTGCTGGTTTTCAGGGCATTCATGTGCTACATGTAATTACAAGTTCAAAGGGGGAATAGATTTGATTTTTACCGATATATCTGATAAAAAGGAAGAATGAACAGCTTAAAAACAAAAGGTAAATCACATAACACTCGTTAAACAGTTATAGATTTACAAATGTTGTGTTCGTGCATTTTCCTACCTTCACCCGGTGTGCTTTCCCTGCGCGGAGAGTGCGCAATTACGGTAAGTACTGCGCACACCAGGTGGAGAGCCCAACTTCCCTGCCTGATCCCGGTGAGTACAACTCATCCACAGCTACCGTGCAGACGTGTACGGTACAGACGACGAAAATAATCAGACTTGAGACACAATTACACAGTGATCTACAATCTCACTCTGTAAGTAGAACAAGTGAATACTTTACAAATAATTTGTATGTACGCGTTGCTTAAATGTTAACTAATTCCCGTTTTCAAACCATACCATATGATATGACTTAGTGTAATAAAATTATAAAGAATAATTGTTAAACGTGAAAAGTTTGTTAATTTTTTAAGATTGTGAGAGATTTTTAATTTGTCAACTGGTAGGTATATATAACGCAAGTAAAGTCACTATTCTCTTAATGCCAAGAAGGTCACATGATCACTGTCTTCGGCTTTCAGCATTTAAGAGACCTCGACTGATTTAACCAAGATGTAGTCGTGAAATTCTAGACTACATCGAGGTTAAATCCGAGTTTTCCGAGAGACGCTACGCAGAAATGTTGAGTGAAGTGAGACATTTATGGGTAGCGGCTCGAGGTTGCCCTCGATCTTCACTGAAGCTTGGCTAAATGGACAGGCTTCAGTGATCATCATATCGCCACGGTCATATAACATCCCTAGGTATGTATAAGCCACATTTACAAAAATATGTATGGATAAAACACTTTGTATCTAAAATAAGGTTTGATTTACATGTTACAATGATTTACAGCTTCGTGGGAATTATTTCCCCTTGACGCTATTTGACGCGCTGTCGGTCGATGCAGCATATATTCCAAAGGTCCTTCAAGACCGCTAAAACATCATTATAATTGCAGCACATACAATAAAACACCCAAAAATACTTAGATATGGACATATCAGATTATATAAATACCAAAATTCCAGATGACAACGATTTATAGCCTCCCGGGAATTCTTTTCCCTTTACGCTCTTTGTCGCGCTGGCGGTCGATGCAGCATGTATTTCAAAACAAGTAGTCTGCAAATTAAGCACGATTTTGCACCTTCATGTTCCGTGTCACGTTTTCATTATCATGTGCCCATTATTTCTACAAGTATTCTCTGCCCAAAATGCGTAAAGAAGAAATGTTATCTTATCATGTTGTTTGAAAAACTGCATTTTTCTCGGAGTCCACGTCTTCTCTCCCGTTGACCTCCAGCTAAAAAAGACCACTCAGCTTCGCGTCTTACACCACTTGACGTCACACTTCCGGTACAATTCTGAGCAATGCTGATCTCCTCCGGTACCCCTTATTAACGGTGGCAGAACCGTGTAGAAATATGCAGAGTCACATACCTCAGTGATCACACGAGACACCCATACAGCTCGAGACTGATCATCAAACACTAGAGTTTTTTAAAACTAAAAAACTTAAAAGTGGTTCTCGTACAGGTGACGCGCTGTAGGTGACGGGGCTTGTGGAAAGGCCTACAGCATTTGCATGATAAAGAGAACGCGACCACTTAATTATTATTATTATTCATTTTTATTTGTGCATGCGCGTGTGCCTGTGTATGGCTTACAGGGACAGGCAATACATCTGGTAGTGTGTTTTGGGTCAAAAATTAACACATNTTTTGTGTCAAAATTAACACATCGAAATTCAGCACATGTCAGCACTTAATTAGCATTTTGGCCATCTGCTACTCGTTATAAAAACTGTTTATCTAAATCTATTTACCTAAAGCTTCAGCTCTCAGCTACCGACCTGCAATAGCATCTATCGGCGCTGAGATAAACTGATGTAGCATTAAGATCTAGCCAAGAGACGCTTTCTCGATTTAGAGAAGTAAACGTTTTCCATGATGGGGTGGACTTCTGTCATTCCATCGGTTCTTGCTTGGGTTTTGCTGCATCGGATTTGTTCGGCTGTTTCCACCACACCGCCGCACATTGTCTTGTTCCTGGCAGACGACATGGGATGGAATGACATAGGTTACCATAACAACCAGGTGAAATCACCAACCCTGGATCGACTGGCTACGGAGGGAGTCAAACTGGAGAATTATTACGCCAAGTCCTCGTGTACTCCAAGCAGAGGAGAACTGTTAACTGGTCGGAATGCGGTAAGCTCTTTGAATTTCCACTATATTTTCACGTCCCTTAGGGCGTATTCCCAGAGCTTTTAGATCGATCTATCTCTGCGGGGAGTCTCACTTGATTACTGTCAGATAATCCGGCTTAAATGTCCGTCCCGCCTACTACAAGCTGTAAGGGGATAATTAACTTTCGTGCCTGCTCGGCTGACAGCTTTTTAGCGTGAACCCCCAGGGAGTTAGTTCGATCGAAAGTACATCGATCTAATCTCTGGGAATGGGGTCTTAGGCTGTGTTCACAACTGAAGATATAGTACTAACAGAGTCGCTCTATCTCAGCGGGGATTCTCACTAAGGCGCAGTCAATGTAATCAGTTTAATTGTCTAACCTATTTGAATAATCATTCATATATTATAATTACTGATGTATCCGTCTCTTTGCACATCTTTACGTATTTATCTATTCATTTGCAGTTAGTTCCTTATATGTTTATGTAGTCATTTGGTTAGTCAGTTTACTAGTTAAGTAGTTAGCAAACTAATACTTGTATCTATACATGTATGTTGTAATTGTTTCCACGGTTTCTAGGCTACTACGGGTCTGTCGGCTGTCTTCACGCATGGCGATCCCGTGGGCATGCCTTTGACGGAGAAACTACTCCCGCAGAGGCTGAAAGAGAGGGGATACGCCACCCACATGGTCGGGAAGTGGCATCTAGGGCACTACACGTACAAACATACCCCAACGTACAGAGGATTTGACAGCTTCTATGGTGAGTTACGTCAGAGGTTTCTTCCAGCAAGACCTTAACTCAGTGTACGTATAGAGTTTTAACTTATTTCTATTTCAGAATTTCATTATCTTGCAAGAAGTCTTTTTCAGGGTGTAACACATGTACAGTATCGTTATAGCCTCTATATACGCTGTATACATACCACTAACTGTCACCCTGAGCTTCAGAGATTCAAGCAAACCTCTAAACTATAGCCTTTGCCGTTTCGAGTTCCTTCTTTAAACGGCAACGGAATGCTACAGTTTAGAAGTTATCTTTGAAACACAAGATACTACATTAAGACTGTGCATAATATATATTTCTGCTGGTTGATTGATTAACCAGTTGCTTTATACCGGTGTTGAAAAACAGGTAGCTGTAAGACAAAGTGTCCTCCCTCCATTATAGATTTATTCAGGTCTGGACCAGCTTCTACGTTTTCGCTGGCAAATTTTCATAAATGCCTGCTAGGCATGCATTCAGTATTATATAGGGTGGTTTGGAACATGGCGAGGTTGGCTCCCAACGGAACTGGTAATGAGCACTTAAGGCGCATTCAGAACAATATGATCCGCATTCGATAGGGTTTCCCATAATCCCCTAATAGCCACTGAATACATTCCCTGTGGGGATTATGTGACAAGCTTTCAAATGGGTCGGCCATATTTGATCCGCGGATCTGTTAGTTCGCGGACCAACATTGGTCGTGAATGCTGCCTAAGATTTTATGATTATATCCTATTTAGGGATATACGGCGGAGGCACAGACTTCTATTCCCACAGAAGTTGTTTCTCGATATTTCCTGGTGTCTGCGGCCTTGACCTTTGGAACGGGACGGTGCCAGATCGGGCCAAATACGGTGTGTACGCAACAGAGATATACTCTCGCGTGGCAACAGATATCATACGCCATCACAATACCAATCAGGTAAGTACAGGGGATCGCTACGGCGAAGAGTTGTCTTTTCATATCATACATGATTACGTTAAGTTTTCAATTTAAGTTTTCAATTTCAATGTTGCATGCAACTTATTTTACAAACGTTTTGTTGTGTCATGATAGCTATTTTATCCATTTTTTTGCAGCCTTTGTTTTTGTACATGCCATTCCAACTCGTTCACGAACCGGTTCAAGTGCCAAAAAGATTTGAAAGCCTATATGATGGGTTAGTTCCGAGTGGCGTGAGGAAAACGTATTTAGGTACGTTAATTGTCCGATATGCGCATTTTCAAGAGCTCATCTCTCGTTTATATTCGCAGGTTCTAGCACATGTAACCTCACCACTGTAGTTGTGTGTGATCATTGTGTGTTCATTATTTTTCTTTCTTTGTCGGTCTCATATTACGTGTTTTTATAAGCCTTTATCATATTGTAGCATCCTGGCCAAACTGTCTGTAACGTTTTCTAGGAATGGTGTCCGCTTTGGACAAAGCGGTATCTGATATTGTGGAGAGTTTGATACAACGGGGTATGCTTGAGAACTCCGTGATTGTATTTTCATCCGGTAGGTGGCGTTTGTTAATGGCGTAACAGAAAGTATTTTGATGCGCGGGAGATGTAATATATTAAAAAACTTTCGTGCAAAACACAGCTGAATGACTAAGACTGGGTTCCCATACTTAGATTGATTCATCTGGATCGACCTAACTCCCTGGGGGTTCAAGCTGAATGCATTGCTATCAGCTCAAGAGGCTTAAATGTCTGTCACGCCTACCGAATCAGCTAGGATAAAGATAATTACCCCCTAACAGCTTTGCTAGGCGCGACAGACATTTAAGCCAGCCAAGTTGACAGCAATTTAGTGAGACTCCCCAGGGAGATAGATAGATCTAAATATCTGTGGGAATGGTCTCTAAACTGTTAACGCGAAAACAATTCACTACTAATGTCTCTGTATTAGTTGCTGTTATAACAGGTGGTATTTTTACGCACAGGAGATGAAACAGACTAAGATAAAACTTTTTTGTTTACAATACAACGGAATGACCAACCAACAATTTACCACTGATGTCTAAGACATTTTGCGATGTATTTCAGACAATGGCGGTGCCCCAAAACAGGGCGCTGACAACGCCCCCTATAGGGGCATCAAGGGGTCTCTCTGGGAAGGTGGGATGAAAGTGCCATCTTTTGTATGGAGTAAACTGCTACAGAAACCGGGAAGAACCGTTCGTGACCTCATTACCATCACAGACTGGTGTCCGACATTGCTGGGTTTAGCGGGAGTAGATGTTAAAAATCTTGGATTAGATGGGTTTGACGTTTGGAATACTTTGAGGTGCCTTGAAACGAATTTCTTACGTGATATTTGTAATTGTAGTCATCATTACCATTTGCTTGCTTGCGTGGTTTCGACTTCATTTTTTTTCTTTTTATAGTATGCATCACCAATCTGTTTTTAATGAAAGTGTCCCTAGCACATGTGATTGATCTTAAAATAGCTTACTTTTCTCTAACATCAAACCAGAATCCATTGCACGCGCATTTCTCTGCGCGAATTACTTTGGAAAAACAGTTCTTTGGTCACAAAAACACAACCATTTTGACTTTAATTCGACCACCACTTTCAGTACCGGAAAAACAGGTCACAGATACGAAGTCGTCCATGAGCTGATAACTTGTCCGTCGTGGTACCCCCCTCGAGGACGCCCACTTTACAGCGACACCTTTGACACCTCGCAGAGGGCGTCTCTAAGACGCGGAGATTGGAAAATCATCACGGGGTCTCCAGGTATAAATAAATAAATAAATAAAAGAAACCACGAAAAGAGATATCCTACGCTTAAGATACGATTTTTGCCATTCCTTACTTTTTCATGTCCTCCACCTAATTAGTTTATTAATTTAAATTTGTATGTTTGTATGTGTAATCTGAGGCCTAGGCCTACTACTTCTGTAACTGCATGTGTGTGTGGGGCACTTAAAATCTCTCTTTGATTTTTTTGCTGTTTACATATAACGTTCCAGTTATTGCAGGTATAAGAAATACAAAAAAAAAAAAAAAAAAAAAAAAAAAAAAAGGAAAGAAAAAACGAGTAAGAATAGCCTTAGCATTGGGAATGTACACTGATAGACATTTCATATAAACCGTTTCTTTTTTAATATACAGTATATAGGCCCTATATATGTTTTCCTATAGCTCTCGTCATACAGTATATTGATGGAGAACCAGTGGAGCTTGAAATCATTGGCATCGACCCCAGCATCCAGAACGTGTCCTTTAACAAGAACGTGTGGCTGTACAACATTACTAAAGACCCGTATGAGCAATATGACGTGTCAGAAAAGTACCCGGATGTAGTGCGCCTCCTGTTGGACAGACTAGAAGCTATCCGGCAGATGGCACCACTTACAATATGCCCCGACCCAGATCCAGCCCTAAATGCAGCATTACAGAATGGCGTTTGGGGTCCGGCCGTTTATCCTACTAGTGGTTCAATTTCTGAAAGTGCTAATCATTGCTTCTGGATTTGTTTCTTTGTTTTAACGGCTCTTAATGCATTGGTATGAGTCATTGAAGTTTAGACTTACCCGGCCCTCTAATACCAGTATTTTAATAGGGGCCTACGTTTAATCAAATCAAGGAGTTATGTCAGAATATGGCTCATTGTTGAAATTACGCACAAGTGATATATACAGTAATAATCTTTCAGTGACGTAGATGAACAATTAAAAAAGGAATTACTACGCCTAACCCTTCAATTGATATATACCAAGCAAATAGAAAATGATGCCTACTAACTACCAACTGGCACTTGTTTCTAATGTCTTTAAAAGAAAATCTTTTTAGAAAATAATTCCATACATATCAGACTATGAGAAAATGATTAGTTAACGTTTATTTACTGTTAATTTATATTTAACAAACATATACATATTTTTAATGTTGACAATGAATTAAATGGCGGTGGCTGTGAATTCGAATCGAAGGAACCTCCGGTTTGGCTTGGAAAAGATCAATTCTGAATCAAAATTCGAGCCCGCTATGGCACGATTTGTATTCCGCTAGGAACCGTAGTGCAGTTTGTACAGGTGACATTCATCCCATATAATAAGTATTAGCCCCAATACGACCGACTAACCCTGACCTGTGCATGTGGAACCTCGCACTTCCATTCCTTGACAATTCCTGTCTCACCGGACCTTTAAAGAAACCAAGGCCTAGTTTCACGTATAAAGGCCCTGTAAAGGACATAACCTACCACCCCTTCAGTTAAGTATAGTCCACACACCCCTATTGAATAATAGACAATGCCACCTAGAGTGAGCAGTTCATTTACACAGACACCTTAGAAGCAAGCAGTTGATTTTTTTGCAGACACCTAAGAAGCTAGAATTTTGTCATACAAAAGAGGACATAAAATTGTAAGTTTCATTTACTTTACTTTGTACAACTGTCATTGTTTCTATTAAATTCATATTGAGTTAAAATTTAATTTTAGGTATATATATATATATATTGTGGTTTTTACAAGTCTCAGTAAAATTTGGGTGTGGACTCGTGGATAATTTCAAAAGAAGTGTGTCATTTTTCTTTATTATTTAATGTATTCACTTTATTAATGTTTATTTATCTGTTTGTTTCTTTATATCTATATATATATAATGTGCTCTAGGGTTTTTGTCAGTTATTTAAGCATTTTATTTTTACAGATTTGAACCATACATACGCACGTATACAGTCACACAAGTTTGTGTAGAGACAGTAAATCGTATGAGTACAAATACAGTCTCGTCTTTTTGTATCGAAGTGTCACCCGTCATAGGCCCACTATTTTTCAGAAAACGGCCCCTTTGAGGCAACTTTTCTGGTACCTTTTAACATAATTCGTTCATTCTAACCCCCCCTCTCAAGTTTCTGCCCAAGGTCCTTAAAAGAATTTCCTATTAGTATAATACATTTACTGTACTAAAGCAATCTTTCAATTACGCTTTATGTGAAATTGTAAAGGAACAGGCTGTTGAAAATATAATTGGTCTTCAGATGATGATAAATGATAGAAATTAAAATTTTTATACCTATTTCATCGTGGACAGCAGGATGGGCCGGATGAGAAATTAACAAATTGTTCATTTAGCAATGGTAGAACGGAAATATCCTGAAAAGGGGGGAGCGGACTCTGTGTGTGTGTGTGTGTGTGTCCTTGATTGTAAACCCGACGGTCGCTGTGCTATTCTTTAACCTTAACATTAAAAAATATTATCATTATTACTTTTTTGTTGTTGTTGTTAAAATCTCAATTTACAAATAATTAATTTAAACAAAACACTTTTTGTATCAAAAACAAGGTTTGATATACATGTTTCCAGCCTAAACTCCAACTTAAAATTATCATTGCAATAAAAATTTAGATGCTGGAATTAATTGGGTTACTAATCGCAAAGTTTAGTGATGTATTTTTTCCTTTTTTATTTATTTTTTACAAATAATATATCGATGTTTTAATTTGATCAGTAACCCCGTTGACGAGGAGAATGCTTTATGAAGTGTTTCTGGGTGGCCGGAACGGAGGAAAGTAATTTTATATTCTGAAGTGGTGGCCCGTTTAGCGAATTTTAATAGTCACATTTATTGGTTGTCAAATTTTCGATCAATATATTAATTTGGTTCCATATACAGCAGCAATTTAAGTTTGTCATTCACTTAAATGCTTATACGTAACTTGTGCATTTATATATATATATATATATATATATATATATATATATATATATATATATATATATATGCAGTAGTTTTGGTATATATATTATGAGCAAATAAGCAAGATATCCCATAGAAGTCTAACTTGTCACGGTAAACGAACACGCACACAACAGACGACTAAAGGAAGATGCTGCCCTCCGTCAACTTGATCGTGACCACGGCATGTGCAGGCCTCTTGCTCGTAGCTACTTTACCCGCACCCGGCACGCAAGGTGAACAAGATGGTACTACCATAGACGACCCGACCTCGGTGGAATCGATGTGCAAGATTGGCAACCTCACGAAAGATGGTCGCCCTCTCGTTGTGCTTCAACGAGACGGTACCTTGAAGGCGTGCAGCTGCGCGGCGCCCAGTGCCCCCTGCCCTGTGACGCCCTCTATAAATGCCACCTACAATGATGTGTGCAACAGAGGGGTGGCCACGGCCTTGTACGATTTTGTCGCTCCCAGTTCGCCGGAGAATCCTTGGACGGTCTTCGTTTCTTGTCACTGTCAGTGCGACGAGGTGGCGACATGTCGACATGGTAACTGTATTGACTGGGTCCTGCCTCTCAGAAAATAAATAGGTAAATACACGCATGAATACTTCAATTCATCTTACCTATGTAAAACAATATTCCTAAGTTCAGTGAGGAATAACAAAAATTAACCTTTAAATCTGCTGCAAAACATTTTTAAATAGTTACGGTAGAAAAGCATTGATAAGAGCCTTTTAGTTGTCCCGTCAGCAGTTAAATTTTCAGATAAGTTACAAATTTGAAAAGGGCGATTTACATCTTTTGAAACACCCAAAATACGAAACGACAGAAGCTGTATTTGAAAACTTTACGCACGGCTGTTGCAGCCAATCTGATTGCAGGGAGCTTACGTGATGTTTAGTGAGCCTTATGTTGAAAAAACTTGCAATATCTGCACGCAGCTGCCGCTACCAGAGGTTAGTGTCCAGTATTACCTGAAACTCAGGCTTGGTCCTCCATGTGATACTTAATATACGCCTTCTTCTTATCGTCAGCATACTTATCCAATATGTTGTTACAGGGTATTGTTTTTTTATTATTTTATTTTAGGTGAAGAGCCCGTTTGGAATTCCCAGGCATCAATAAAGACCTTAATGACAGCAAGCAGAACTGTAACCGATAACGATATAACGACATAAAACGAAACCCCTCTGAGCCAGAGCGGAAATGTGGCGGAAAGTGAGCAATCGCACCCTGCGTTTAAGAGGTCCATAAAAACTCACCTCTCCGTCGTCACTTATCAGTGTGCCTCCAGGGGGCGCTAGCAGACCCCAACCAATGGTTTACATATTTTACTTAAAATTTCAAACTAAATAAATAGTTTAATAAAAAGTTTCTGCATCTGATATGCCCTCTTAGAGTTGTGCTTCGTGTAGTACTCAAACTACGTTTCGAGATCACAAGTATTTTATGTATTTATTTGGAAGGGGTTGATTCACAGTAAATCCATGCGCATGCCAGCCTCCGAACGTGCTGCCTCTTCTGTCACAGTAAAGAAGTAAAGTAAACAAATAAAGCTTTCGAAAATCAGCTGAGATTTTAGCAGCCCATCTTTGGTCTGCTGACAGTCAGATTTCATCAGGGAAATGGAGGTTTTGATGGGTATTAAAACCACATTTCGCTGTCACAGGAAATATATACAAATACATAAATGTTAGAAACGTGAGTTTTGAGACGAATCTAAAACCCAGGGTGACAAGGGAGAGATTTCCTAAACAATTTCCGCGGGACGTATTTCCGATACCAGCAAAACGGGTGGTGTGAATCCGCTGAAATATATACACCACACTACTGCTGCAGATGGTAGCTGAGTAATTTCCGTTGAACTTAAACTTCATTTCAGCATAAATGGCTTTTCTGATTTTCAGCACTGTATGAGGTGAAATAAAATCTGTGTCATCACCAAGCAGCTTGTGTATCCTACTCTTATTGGTAGGCCCTACTACTCTGTGTTTTATGTGTTATATAAAGTTGCGACAGAGTAGGCTTTTCCTTGTCTATTTTGTAGTTGTAGTGGTCAAATGTTCGATGCATCGACATGCATGACTCAAGCCTTTTTATTGACTGTTGAAAACAGATTGCGCATTTGTCTAGGCCTCTATATATTGTCTTAAAAAGAAAGAGAAAAGGAAAGTAAAATATTAATTTAATCGTGCATGTATGAGTAATACAGGGGAGCAATCCCCTGACATTAACGAAGTAATTAACAGCCTTATAAACAATTATACCAGAAAATCCCCTTTTCTCATTGTCAACGCGGATTTCGAGCACGATGGAGGTGTGAAAACCCGAAAAAAAAAACACCGTGCGCCGATTGGCTTAGAGTTGCCTAAGATTGACAGCCAGCGATTGGTCAATGAAATAAATGAAATAGGTCACTTATATTGAACAAAGCTACTACTAGGGCAATCACGCCGCAGTACATTTAGATCGGTCTTGATAGGTAAGCTTCAATAACCACCATGGACAGAGAGTCAACGTCTAATCACACTGGAAGTCGTACAAGTAAGACGATTTTAGATGATATTAGCGACTCCAGTGACTATGTCGTCGTCTTCAAAGGAGACACTGGCAAAAGACTTGTACAGCTTATGGAGGAAAACAACAGACAACAGCAGTCCATCATAAACCTGCTCAAAGCCCTGGTGGAGAGGGGAACGTCCGATCAGTCTGATCCCCCCAGCCCCTATTCTGGGAAGAGAAAGAGGGGCAGCTCGGAGAGTCTTAGCGTCGACAAGGAGTGCAGAGTGAGTTGTAAATTGACTTCCTTATAATTCAGTGTACTTCCATGGTCAATATTGTAGTGGTTGGTCGGGGTGGGCCCGGGCTTGGTAGCCTAGTTGGCAAGGGCAGTCGCACGGTTTGCAAGAGTCCTTGGGTTCGAATCCCTGTCGAACCGGGTGCCTCCCCCCCTCCCCCAAATAGCTACAATATGCACTAGCTACATGATCGAGCTACTAGAAGTGAAAAGAGTGATATCAAGAGGCAACCGAGCCGGTGGTTTACAATATTTGATTTAATACGAAAAGCTAAATAAGATGTTTTGATATGGGACGTGTATACTAGCTGTGCAACACGAATATTACACCAATAAGTATAAGAAGTAATATTACAAAGAAAAAAAATTGAAAAGGTCCCCTCTGGGTAAAAATTTATCTAGGTACGCGAAGGATGGTAAAAGATCCACTTTTTCCGAAAAAGAAACCCTCCCCCCACTCCTCCGCCCCCCATTGAAATTGCCGGCTACGGGCCTGCAACCGTTTCTTATGTAATGAAAGGAGGAAGAAGGTGAATTTTCAGTGTCCTCTGGAACTCAGGACGACAGGACTTTGAACTGATAAGTAATATAAGGGCGTATAATGGTGTATAAGCATTAAAAAGCTTTTTATGACTAATGTAAGTATTAGACTGCTTGTACGTAGATTGCGGAAAATAACATGAAGACGCCAACAGCTAGCTATGGGCATACTAGTGGTTCGTTGAATTCGCCTTGACATATAAGGTACAATCAATGAAATGATAGAAAATTTAAGGGACAAAGATGACAACATTTCTACAGTACACCTATTCTAACTTTATGTTACAGTGATTGTAACAGTGTACCACAGCACAAAAAGCCCCATTACTTTACGGTTCAGGAGATGACTCTGAAAATGCCCTTTAGAAACCAGTCAGATGCGGAAAGCTCTTTAGAAATGATAAAAGCCTGCACTCTCCATGACTTGTCTAACCGCCATCTGAAAAATGTGAGACGCACCATACTAAGCCTTTACACAGGCTTTCTATTCACGCTGAGGAAATTATAATTGCAACGACCTTTACAAAAGAATATCCGCTCAGAGTAAAGGCGCTTATATATCGACAGCTTTTATCAACTTTAATACTCGTTTCCGCTCCGGTACATGCGTTAAGAATTGGCGGTTTCAGCACATGTAATACCCCTTTCAGACCTGGTAAATGGGTTGGTATTTACAGTTTTTAGCATCTCTACTGGGACAGAATAGCTGCTGCAAGGCTAAAATTGTCTGCCATAGTTTAGCTATTGAAATGAGGCGGTCAGCCAGAACGTCAAGTGAAAATAGACTTCACGCATGGCGTTGTCTTACAGCAAGCGGGACATGCCATTTGGGAATGTGAAGATGCAAGTCCCTCACGGTTGTAAATATATAGAGACCATATCTTCCCATGGCCAAGTTAATATGCAATATCAAAGTTTATATTTTGATTTGTCCAGTTTTCGCTTCAGTTAAAAGGATAATAACTCTTCGTATGAGATTTATATTTCACAATAAAAACCTTGTGAATAACTCATAGAAATAAAATATATTCTGTTTTACCACAAAAACAGCAGTTACAGCTATTATTCTGATATCTGAGCTTGTCTTTAGACCACGTGACCTCCATTGATGGCTATACTCTGTTAAAATCTCTTAAGTGATTTTAACAAAAAACCAAACTTTTTAGAAAAAAAACCAGGGACTAACTTTGAATGTGAGAATGGATTCATTTACCATTGGTAAGTATGGGAAAATTGTTGTTTACTCCAGGAAAATTCATTTTTTGGCTGAAACGAAGAGTTATTATCCCTTTAATAAAGAATGGAAAATGAATCACAAACACAACGAAGCTCAAATCCTTGATGAGGTCTATGGGATATATACGACACTGAGGAACTCATACCATTTGCACATGAGTGTCCAATGTAGAATTTGATTTACTTTTTTTTAAATCAAAACGCAATATTTCTTAGTACATATTTATACTGATTTTTCCAGGATTAAAAAAGGCAGGGGAATTTAATTATCAATAGTTTTTGACCTCCTTTTAGTTTAATTGTTCATATTTGATAATATCAAGAATGTTGTGAATTAAAAATTGTCACTACTCAAGCACTAATAGACACCGCAATAGAACTTACATTTGCATTGATTAAGATAACTTAGATAAATTCACCAGAGAGATTTATCGATTTTTTGTAAATAACACACTTATATTATATATATTTGTGCATCAGCTATACATTACACTGAAGGATAATGAAACATTTTCTTTTTGCCTCCCACCAGACGGCTTTGAGAGACACCTATCGGACAATAATTAGGCACAGCTCTGTCGGCTGGAATTTTGAGCAAAGGTATGGTGCGCTCGCAGTCTTGCTGCATAGTAAATGTATGATTTTGCTTCACAAAAGGGGGGGGGGATGTTTTTCCGAAATGTTTTTAAAACCAAATATGAAATAGAATGTGTCGAGAACAATTTCACTGTAACATGTAGGGCAAACTGTTTTGGAGGGAAGAAGGGGGCATGTTAGAAGTAACGTCCGCGCATCGTTACTTTCCCGATTCGTTACTCCCCCCAGCAAAATTACGATATTGCCAACACTGTTACTCACTCCCCGTCTCGTTGCTTCTTAGATAGCAATTTAGGTATATACAGTTAAAGGTACATACGTACGAACCGAGCATCGGTGGAGCGTGGATTCCCAGTAACACATATAAACCACTTCTACTAGTTTCTTATACGACTCTAATAAATTCGACATGCGAAGGGATAAATGAATACATCACCCGATCAACCATAAAAGAGCTTTAGACTGCTCCTTTCTTTAAATTTTTGGTTGTCAATTTAACCTACTTTCGTGACCTACTTTTCTGCCCCTTTGACGTACAGCGTAGAATGCTAGCAGAAAAATCTTTTCGGACATCACTTTCGGGTAAAATTAAACAATGCCTTTTGGTAATTCTCTTAGTTATACTACTTGAAAGTATATGCTGGCATTTGGTTGGTTTTTATGACAAAAAATTGACTTTGTATGTATCTTTAAAAATTTAGTGCTTTTACCAGTTGGAGGGGGGAGGGGGGGGGGTAATACTGTTTTGGAAGGGAGAAGGGGACACCTCAGAAACAACGTCGCCGCATCGTTACCAGGCAAAATTACGATGTATCTAGCACCGTTACTTCCTTGCTCCTCTACCCAGCCAATTACAATACAATTACAATATTCTCAGTAAGGAGTTTGTATTAAAATTATGTTTTAAATTAAATTTTATTTTAACGGGACTGGGAGTGTTAACGGTGCAGGGACGTAAAGAGATCCAATTTAAATCACTCAACCCTATTTTTAATCTTACTTTTTCAGCTTTACTGCTCCACCCAACCTGGCCGTCACTGAGGCCGTAGTTACAGAAATAAGGAGGAAATATTCACAAGATGGAACGCCCAAGTGGTCTGAACCCATGATAAATGGTAGGTTTCAGGCTACACGTTTCTCGTTATTAAACGTGATTGTTACACCTCTATGTTGAAGGCTGTGATATCGGTCATTCATTTACTATTATAATGAATTTATCACTGATTTCACCTTTTATCGGAGTATGCTCATAAAAACGCGTATTTTGACAAAAACACGGTTTTGAAGAAATTATGAACAACCTTTGATGTTTTTGCTATATTGTCAAAAAATATAATTATAGTTAGTATAATAAAATCAGTAGAAAAAGATTACTGAGAAACAATATATGGTGCTATCTATAATTCAAGAAAAAGTCTCATGTTTTTATTTCAGCGGCGTGTCGTGTTTACTACCGTTCACTGAGAGACGACTTTAAGAGAAGCAATGAAGGAACAAAAGACAGACACAGGGAGCGGATTAGGAGGAACGAAAGGCTGAAAAGGGTACGTATGGGTATCCTCTATTGCCTGGGCTCGACCAAATTAAAAAATATGGATAAAATTTTGCCCTACACAATGGAGAAATTATTTGGTTTACACACTCATTTAGCTTAATTTTTATCAAAGCCTCAAATAATAAATAAACGATACATTATCCGGGCTTACTTGTTTTTTATATTTTAACTATGAAGAACTTTTTTGACTTAAGTATTTTATAGTTATTTTTTTAAAATTACTAATAAGTATTTTATAAGTAATCGATTAAATATATGATCTCTGGATTTAATAAATATCCGTGACAAATTTGTTCAATAAGCCAGTTACGATCTCGTCAATAATATTTCGTAAATATTTTAGGCACATTGAGCGTAAGACCATTATGCGCGCATTTTTTTCTTCAAATGTCCACATTCTTCCCTAACCACCAAGGTGAACAAGCTTTAATTTTTGTTTCAAGGTTTTGTATTGATTTTATGACTAATGTCATTTGTACATCTTTGAAATTTTACAGAAATTATCCAGAAGACAAACTGCCCTCAAGGACATAGATTGGAGCGAGGAAGAGAAAAAGAAAGTGGAAGAAATACTTGTGAAAGACTTTATGTCCAGCGATGAAGAGGAGGACGGTGGCAGCTATGTTAAATCTCTGGAATGGGAATCGGAAACCTTAAGGCATTACAAAATGGAACTGGATCATTTTTACGTTGAAAAACAAAATGCGAGAACGGTTAATGCCATGATTTTACCGGAAAGAAACGGGGGCTATTTTTCTTTGCGGAAAAAGCCAGAAAATTGTCCCTCGTGGGCAAGTCTTTCTTTCACGTAATCAGCAAGAGAAAGTTGAAGAGGAAACTGCGTCCATTTTAGCTTCTCATGGTTGTCATATATTCTACGTCTATAAATTCTCACTTTCTGACACATTTGTAATTTTGTTTAACTATCTTTTTATGGTGAATGTGCGACATCTGCAGGTCGAGTTATAACGTACTATGAGCAAGATCGTAAAATTTATTTGTACCAACTTCAAAAAATGAAACAAAAGCCGTTTCCAAAATTTTATTGAAAATGTTCAACCAGTACTTTCTTATGTCTTTATAATTTTACATAAATAAAGTTATTTATATCTATTACTGGACTTACAATTTAGTCTAAATGACGACGTTGTGTCTACCTCTTGGATATTTCAGCCATCTACTGAGAGAACAGGTGAAACTATTCTCAGTTCTTGTTACAAGTACAACCTACAAAGACCAAGGAATTAATATAATTCCTAGCATAGACTGCAAAATATCTTTGCAATTTTACTTTTACAATTAAAATTTGTGTAAGTACACAACAGTCACAGAAAAATCCTGCAGTACACGTGTTAATTCACAACAAATATAGGTAATAGATGTATGTCACTCAAAAGTCTCCCAAGCTTAACAAAAGCTTTGGCCAGTTTTATCCGATGTCTTTGTAATTTTTTAAGACATGTAAGTGCATGAAAGTAAAAGACTGCAGTATGAAATAACTACAGAAAAAAACTACAACTATATGCAGTTAGGTCATCTCTCTAAGGTAAAAGTCCATTTATATCCACCCCATATGCCCCAAAGCCATAGTATTTTCTGTCTATGTAAGCTTATTTTCCCCAATTCTGACCTAACAAAATACCATAAAAATAAAGGTACCTGATATTGATATTTCCTCTGCAATGTACAAGAAGACATGATGGGAAAATCCCAGGCAGGAAAACTTTAAAGAACATGGCAAGGGTTTCAGAGATCTCACTACTTAAAGTTATCACTTAGTTATTTGGTTTCTGATACGCCTTTAGATTTTTTCCACCATCAAATAAATTCTTGATTTTCTGATACATAAATGCGAAGAAGAAAAGCATGTTGTCATATTGGCCATTGTACTCTGCATCAACAAAGAGATCATGATATTCACGCAGGAAGTAGTAGATGGCTTCAACTGTGGCGAGATATGTGTCAGGTTTGTTGCGCTGATGGCGCCAGAATTTGGTCTTGTGCTTCTTCAACTCAATGCAGCGCAAACCTGGAAAATAATGATAAAAACAATAACTACTTCTATGTAACAACTTAACATAAGTCAGCCTGGATATATGTAATAAATGCATAAATTATTCAAAAAATAAAATTAAATTTACATGTCAAACCCATTCAAAAAATTCACTTGTACTAAAATAAATTGAGTAATCCCTTTTAAAAATAAGAAACTCTACCTTTCAGCCTCTCATCACAGAAGATACTTTTGGTCTGATTCCATGTACAATCTATGAACACCACTCTGTCAAAAGGAGCCTCATATATATTTCTTTCTTCCACTGTAGGAGTGGCTGAATCTGCTTGTGTTAGGTGTGATTCCTCTGATTGTGTCAGTTGAGACAGGTCCTTAACAGCAGCGTTTTTATTTCCTACAGTTTTGTGAGGTACTGATTGCCTTTTCAGGGACTGATCTGCCTGACATTGATCTGAAGAGTCAATTTTCTCATCACTTCTAGTTTGAGCCTGATTTGAGTGTGTTAGTTGTGAATCACTAGATTCCGTTGGGTGTGTCATAGCCTGAGGAGTGGTGTTGTTCTCAGATGCTTCCGCCAGATCTGGTTGATCTGATTGTGGTAGTTGTGACTCCACACATTGCGTTTGTTGAGATACAGACTGTTTTGTATTGTGCTGCATACTCTTATCATTGGAAGTTATTTTGTCTGAACTTATACGTCTTTGTTTAACAGGAGGCTCTCCGTCATCATCTCTGAATTTGCAAATTTCGGAGATGTCTTTTTCTGTAGAACTTTCATTGTGTTCATTCACAGCTTCCAATTCAGACACTGTCTGTTCCTGATGACCTTTGACCTTAGGACCTTCATTCTGCCCAACATCACAACTATCTTGACCTTTGACCTGGTATTTTGATATTTCCGAATTTTCACTCTTCATGTCACCTTTGTTTCTTTTCTCAGCATCTGTGACAGAAAAACCAGGCAGAGATGCTACTTGCTGTTTCCTCAGAACTCTACACTGCTTAGCAAGTTGCTCCAAGGTGACCGAATCTTCTCCTGGGAATACTAGCACCACCTACAGTAGAAAACAGAAATTTTATGTCTGTAAGTCTGTATAAAAGGTAGATTGTGTGAGCTCCACGCCAATTTGCCTACTTGAGTGCATGTCTAGTTGGAGATTTAGAGCTCATTCCCATACAGGCACCAGCCTACATAGATTGATCCAACTCTGCCAAGACTCCTGCTAATTGCAATCAGCTTAATTGAATGACACACCTCCTCGTTTCCAATGTACTCGTACCATAACCAGTTTTTCTGTATTCTACTCAAACCAGGAGGAGGTCCGTCTTTCAGTTAAGCCGGTTGCCATCAGCAAGAGTCCCTGCAGAGTTGAATATCTATGTAGACAGTTGGTGTCTATGGGAATGAGTCAGAAATTTCACATCTTAATGAAAAGAAACAACTACTGGATCAAACACAATATACACTTTAACACTGGGACCTCTAACATTATCTGATGACATTTCAAGCAATATAAGCTCAGACTGGTTTCTAACTTAAGTCTCTTTATGAAACTGAGGTCAGCTCATAGAGAATTTCACATACCCTAGACTTATCAGGGAAGTCAGGAATGCAGGGATATGTGTAGACTGAGACTTGATCAGGAGCCAGGGTGGCTGCATGTGCCGACGTACTTTTACCATCGATCTCGCTCCGGTGCTTTATGATGTCAATCTTCAGTGGGAGCTGAAAGGCACAAAATAGGAGTATGTGTAAAGAAATATACTGTAAAAGATTTAAAACTGTCTCTTGTGTAAAGATGGCAAAATGATGAGTGAATGAATAAATATAACATTATCCAAAATCACACAACCCGTTTTAATAAAAAGCAATTTAATTTTACTTATGACAATCCACCACATGACATGTTGTATTTTATGGCTATTTCAACTAGATGTTGCATATCCTGACAACCGATGAGCTTAGACGCCAAGATACACCTTTTAGTCATCAATAACTAAATGACCTTAACCTTGAGCCTACCTTGACCTTTGGCACAGATTCCTGCAATCCCTCCACAGGGCAAAAGCAAGTGTAACAGTAATATTTCCTGGACTTGTTACACTTGGGACAAAGGCTCCTAGTGTCAACTGACTCCAGGCAACTGAAATCGCTGATCTTAAGATAGGGGTATGGATTTTCCTCCATCACTCTGGTCTTAAGTCACGTACCTGAAGGAAAGTTTTAAAGAATATTTTTTTCACTAAACCAAAACCATGGTTTCTAGGTTTAATTGCTAGATATCCCTGCAAGGAAGGAGTGTGTGGAGGCTGGGAGACTTATCAACATTTCAGCTGGCACTTCTTTCATGAAGGGTCCTCCATATTTGATCTGCCGATCTGTACAAGTAGACCCCAGGATCATCTGTTGTGATTGTCTTCTTTGGCAGTCTAGAGAATACACACCTATTCATTATGTAATCTGAGATTGAAGTCTAAGAGGGAGGGGGAGTGTCAGACGCCATGCCATCAACTAGACATAAGTTCAGAAATAGATTAGCACGAAAATTCCTGCGTTACCACTCCTACTGACAGCCAGTACATGTCAGACCCTCAACAGGAGTGCTAACGCATGAATTTTCATGCTAATTAAGTGATAGATTTACTAGTAAATTATTTGTTTCATGTGAAACATGACTAGATGACTAAAAACAAGTATCAATACCCCCACACTGCTGAAACGACGTAGGCCTGCTTGGTTTTAATGGTGAGTTTTCCCTGCAGAGATCTTTGAAACTATCAGGTTGCTGGGCAGCTGAGATCACTTTTAAAAATCTTAGAGATCAGTACCCACTTTTTCTAGTCGTTCCCTGATAATTCGTAAAACCATGTTTCAAAATACACAAATAATGGATAAATATAAAAGTGTAACTAAAATTCAACATATTCTTTACTGATTCTACCATTTCTACTCTACCAGATAGGTACAGCGATCGAGAGAAAACTTCAGGTAGGTATATCACAATCCGCTAGGGGTGCTACAGTTGTAACTATCCAGGGGCAGTGAAGTGTAAAACTGAAGTCGGCCTGCTGACAGTTCGCCTATGGAACCCCTTTTTTAAATCTCTCTTTTAGCGCCGCGTAAAAAAATTAATACAAGCCATTAACTAAATAAGCTGTAAATCAATGAGTAAAATCCGGTCACGTGATTTTCCCTTGTTGCAGTCCTAGAGAAGTTTCAGTCCAGGGTGTTTGAAGTTTTGCCTTGACAAAATGCTCAAAAATGTCAGGGAAGTACTGGTTTCCGCATTTTGAAATTTATATCCAATAAAGTTTATGAAATTTGCAATATTATATAGAAAAATCATGAAAATTAAACCATGCGAAGTATAGTTTATTTGATGCGCAATATTTATAGTACATGATCTGCACGGAATCCATCCCAGCCATGTGCTTGTGCGGTCGCCAATTTGGGTTTGTTTCCAGGTCATTAGATTAACATACAGCCATAATTGCCCTAATTGGTCACAAGCAATTTGAGCTGCAGCTACAGCTGAGTGATCACCGCTGGTCAGTTACAGTAGTGACAGGTTTTAAGCTGAAGAGTGTGGACACTTTTGTTGAATTTTTTGCAGTTCAAAAACTTCAATATCTTTGTTGCTTGTAGGAATATTTAAAAAATTCCAAGTGATTTCATCCGGTTTTTGCATTACCTTTTAGATGATATAAGTTTTATAATTTTCTGATCAGTTTGAAAATTTTTCTGATAAGTGATATACCTACTTCAGGAAGCCATCAACATAGCCCATTTATCTAGGGTGTGCGTTCTCCAAAACCTTATTTACCATGATAACGAAAATATGTAGCACGTTAATATTAATTCTATCTAAATTGAAGGACACTGTGACTTCAGATAACTAAGAGTAAACTTCAAACTTACAGTAACAAATGTGTAAACCGTTCCAAGATCCACGTGCTGAATTTTCTAATCTCCAAACATTTGAGAACGGAAGATCACGCTTCCCCCTGATAGACCTCGTTTTCGATCAAGCCATTGACGTTCTTACTGATAACATTCAGGCTGTTCAAAACTGCATATATATTTATTATTGCAATACTTAAGATTATCTTGGAGTTGCGCATATATCTTTTTTTCTCATGTCTTAGATCATTTCTTATATTAAAAATAATAAGTCTAAGTGATTAAATGTAGTCTTCGCATGGTTAATTTTATAAATTTTCAATTTTCATTTTTATCGTTATCAATGAAAAGAGATTTATGTTCAAAGTTTACAAATGTAACTTTGCTTTTTTTTATAACGGTCACTTGAGATGTTGTTAAATGCCATGCCTTAAGAAAAAAATAAAGATATAATTATAAATAAATATATAATAATTATGAATCCCGTGTGTGCCAATTTTATTAACATAACAGAAGACAAAAAAAGTTGTGAGTCCCATCTGTATTTCACATTTGACAGATTTCCATACCACTTTAAAAATATTGTTCATCAATGTAATTATAAATAGATTTAAAATGGGTAATTAAATTATTGCTTTTAATTCAAATTAAAGGGAGAAAAAAAAAACTGACGAATCGAAATTGAATTTTACTTTTAGCCTATACTTACTTATGTGTTAAATGTTTTCATTTCTTCCTGTTTATTTGTTCAATTATTGATTCTTTAAACCCTAAGCTTACTCTCAGTGTTTGCCTCTTAGGAAAATTAGTTGCTGGACCGAAAGTCCAGCCATCTTGAAAAGTAGCTGGACTGACTGTCTGCCAGATGGGAAAACTTATCAGCCCGTTCTAAAAGTTGTCAGCCCCGGGCAGACGGTCCAGCCTTAATTTCTAACACTGCTTACTCTGATATGGACCGAGCTGAAACCCAGAAAGGCAAATTTCTTTGGAGCGGCACATTTTGTCAAATTTACAAATATATCAGTTATTATATCAATCTTGCCCATCTGTATCGCTTCACATATGCACAAAACCTAAATTCATGCCTAATTTGAGTCAGTTATAAATTTGTTTTTCCACAAAACCATCGTGTTTACTACGCTGTTTACTCAAAGCGCACTCATTGTAATCTTTTGTGAATGAGGCACAAAAGTGCCCCGCGCGACCTCATTACCATAAAACTGAGTCCCTAGTGACAACGCTAGCAACGAGCTTCTGCCACATGACAACAAGAACCAGCATGGCGGTGGAAGGTGAGGAAAAATTTTCCTGTGTTGGAATTTTTGCATATTTCTCCTAACTTTCACTCAGAAATTAATAAGTCTTGTGTATTTTTAGCGTCAATAAGGCGAGTAGATGAGCTTGCCCGGCCCAAACCGATGGCAGCCGGCTTTGTTGAAGACAGGTAAGTGGAAAAAGGCGGTCGAGTATAATTCGGCAGTGACAAAACAATACCTGGTCAGCAACGTTCTGTGAAGTCCTCTAAAATGATTAACCAAACATTGCACGTCTGATTTACTGCATTTTACTTTGTTCGTTTAGACGATAATTTGGCGAAAATTTAAATGAAGTGATGCATAATTTCAAACTGAATTATTGCCTATTTGTGTGTGGCAGTGTTATCCGATTTCAATGTAAACACACGTGTGTTTATCAACCAATTTCATCTTGCTTTGAAAGTGTGGAAGATCGAATATCTGTAATACATCTAACGGCAAATTTGTTTAAGTCATTGTCTCTTGCGGAAAATGATACAAGAGTGATATATAGTTTGTGAACATGCCCAGCCTTGAGTAAATTTGGTAGCCATTAATATATGTTTGAACTAGTGTTATCAGTATACTGATTACCGCATTTTAGGCACTCAATGTGTGACTTATCTAGCACTTAACTGGCTTGCACTAATAAATGTCTATTTTTAAAATTTCCACACACCCTTTTCCATCTTGTGCTACATGTACATGTCATGACTTTTTCCAGACATTTTACAAAATAATTTTTTGTAACTGCTGCAAAGACTGCAAAGGTTATTTTTTGTCAAATATTATTTCATAAAAATCAAAATCATGAAAGTAAAACTGACTAGTAAGAAATTATCGTAGTGGTTCTGAACTTTCTGAGTTGGCAACTCCAAACATTATAGATATACATGTACAGTCCAACAAGTGTTTGAAATTTCTCTTCTCTACACATAAATTACTGGTATATACCATTGTATAAAGTGCTCTTTTTATGAACCCTAAATCAACAATTAAATATTTAAAAGTGTGTAGTTGTGTACTTGACTTGCACTTGTAAGCAGCAATAAAAATACACAGAGTGAAAAGTTCTTGGTGGTTATAAGTCCCGAATCATGTTAAAATCCTCAAGTATTCTTTGCTGCTGTTTATTTTGAAAATTATAAACAGTATTTGTTGGCAGTTTGCAAACATGATTGAAGTTCCCTAATAGAATTTTCTTTCACTTATTTGAAGCAGTTTTATCTGAATGAACAAAAGAAAGATTTTAATGATTGACATCTTTCAATACTGACTAAGAATGAATAAATACTCAGATTTTCAAGTTTGTTGATTAAATTGTTGAACTAGCAACAGCAAAATAAGATTGAAAGTAATTTAAATGAAAAAAATTGCATATAGGACGGGAAACTATAAAATTGGATGCATTCATACATGCTTATGATAATTTCCCTGATATGTGTTGTAAGTATTTTCTGGTCAGTCATTTAGAACAACATCTGCCATACTGATATTAACAATTATAGAATTACCTAAGAAATTTCATTGTCTTTAATGTCTGAATTTGGAAATATAAGAATTAAGCTATTAGCAGGATAAGAATATGACTGTGGGGCATTTCTAAACTTGTGTGGATTGCCTTTTAAACCTTTTTACATGAAAGCTGCTTCAGCACAGCAAGCCTTGCAGGCCTTGTACATGTACCAGCAGAATGAAGATACAATATGACAAGAGTCCCTACAACATATAATCCAGATACAGCTGGGTGTCGCTCGGTCAATAAGCCCGAGTTCCATTTCCCACTTAACAGTTGTCTCTTCTGATTGTTCTTTATTTGCTCACCATTAGTACATTTAATTTCTATTCACATCAACTTAAGCAGATACCACCCGCATACGCATTTTAAGTCGGGAAATGAAAATAGTGCAAAAAGATCAATGTCTTTTCTGCAAATACAACAGAAAATTACGTCTCCGTCTTTTTCACGACTTTTAATTAGTTATCCTACTTTCTCAACCATCTGATTTCCCCCACAATATTAGGTGTCAGGAAATAAAATAATTATGAAATTCATTGATCAATATCCCAGCAGCGTATTGCATTACCGTTAGATCATGTGTTATTTAACTGCAATCACATGCTGAATGATTTGACACAATGTGAAATCAATGACTTGGGAGTGTCCTTGGTGCCCTCTAGTGGTGCTTAGTGACGGGACGATATTTGATGGACCCACAGCGATGAGGGCCTCAAAGTGGGGGGTATGAGATTGAAACAAGTATTTTGCCAATTTAATGATCTGACTAGCCTTTTTTATTTAGAAATATGCATTTTTTTAATTCTATTAATAAATGCTCTGATAGTAATGCATTGTATGAAACAGCTTGAAGCTTTGATTTTTTGACAAAAAATCATTTTCAAGGAAATGATAATTTTAAAACCAGCATATGATGCTCTCCCCCACCCCCTTTTTTACCCCCTCAGCTCTCCCTGGTGATATTTGTTGGTAGTCCGCTTCAGATTTAGTAAGATTTTTGAGAACAAGGGACCAGAGAGATAAAGTTCTACAACATTGCAAGTGATTTTTTAAAATTTGCTTTACCCAAAACAAGTGGCATCATAAGATTACTTTGGATTGTTCTCTTAGTAGCATGAGGATGTGGCACTGATTTCATTGTGAAAAAAAGAGCTTTTCAAAGCATTCTAACAGATGAATTAAGCTTTGCATAAAGCCAGTGGATTCATACAAGCTTAAGTGGCTCAGACAGATTATATTTGCTAGATGTCTGACTTTGCTGGCAAAAAATAAATCTAGCTGCATTATTGATTGAGGCAATTCATTCCTTGCAAAGAACCACGGAAAAGCAGCTGGAAGCGTCTAGGTGATAATTTCATGGCTTTTTTCACATTGAGCAGTGTAATTTACCAATGGACAGACAGTCTGCTATGATGCATGCACTTTAGCATGGCTTTTATGAAAGAGTCACCTAAGTGGCCATCAACACAGCCAATTATTAGTTTATTCCACTAAATAAAGGAAACAGACTTTTGGAGAACTTGTGAAAAAGAATGAAAGCCCCAAACTGTAGGGTATATAGTTACATGTTAGGACCTCTCACAGTTTATCAGTACAGATTTATAACTGACAATTCAACTGCCTTAAAAAAAAAAAAAAAAAAAAAAAAAAAAACCTGAGAAAGTAAGTTGGGTACTAGTAATGTGCCAAAACCTACAGTCTGTGGGATGGCCGTGACAGGATGCCTAATAACCTCTTACTAGTAATTGCTTTAGACATATGTATATTTGTTTTAATTTGTATTTCCAGGCGTTCTGTATATTGGATAGACAGATGGCCACCTGGTCCAGGACCTAATGGGACCACAGTTTGTGGTAAGTCTTTTTATCTTCAGGTTAAATCTGCTTAAACCAAAAATAATAACAGCAATAATAATTATATAATAATAATGATTATAATAGAAGTGTTATGATTTTAATTGAAAATTACTTTTGTTAGCAACATTTGAATTGATTTAAATTTCTCATTTTGAAGAGACTCACCCTTTGAATATACTAGATTTTTTTAAAGGGTTTCCTTTGCATGTTTGTTTTATAATAATTTTTTACAAATGTTCTCCTTTGAATTTCATATTAAGTTTTCTGTATGAGTCAACAGTGGACAATTTTCTTACAGCATATAGGAATATTTTGATTTGGGTTTAATTTCCTTACAACCTCCTATTTTCAGTTTTGACTCCACGACAAATGCAGCTAGTCCTACACAGGAATGTGAACCCTGGATGGAAGGGAGACAGGTGAGAGGCCATTGCTATATAAATTGTGTTAGATGTGACAGGGGAATTGTGAGGAATACACTGTTATTTGTGACAGAGGAATTGGAAGATGGAGTCAGTTGCAGCATTTCATTTGTTAAAATTGAGGAAATGCTCAAGAGGATGAAAACCTGAACAGAATGGATATTGACATGATAGTATTTTTTATTGTACTGCTTGACTGAAAAAATGCATGAGAGTTGGTTCTTTGTAGCGTCATAGCGTTATATTTCATTTGTTTTTAAATTTAAAGTAGTAGGTTAAGGATAAACTATTACAAAACTTAAATATGCAAAAAAAAAAAAAAAAAAAAAAAAAATTTAGTGGAGATTATTTGCAAAGAGTTAACATTACAGATTTTAATGTCATTGTTTTTTTTTTTTTAATTTTAGACCAACACCCATTTGGCAAGTAAGCAAAGGGGCACAAAAGGCAGAAGCATCAGAACGCATAGAGGTCTTAGCCATGGATCGCAAAGTGAATCCAAATTACTCCTTCGATCGCTCTCCGTATACTGTGGTTCCAGAACCAGCCAAGAAACGAGAACCAACAGACAGATTAGAACAGCTTGCCCAGCCAAAACCATACAAAAATGTGAACACTATAGAATACGAAGGATTTGATTGGACAAAAGTCATTTGGCCAAGCCGAGTTTCTGCGGCCGCCATGAAGGCAAATGCTACACCACGATTGGAGGTTTTGGCTGAGGCTAAAAACCCCCACCCGAAGTTTGTTGGCGAAAAGCCTGTTCAGTGGCCCGTTTTACAAGACACTTTGAAAGCCTCGGCATCTGCACGCGTACAGCAGTTGGCACGGCCGAAGAGTCGCACGAGGATTGTCGATGATTACGATCCTTATAAAGTCTCCAATGGGGCCAAGAAGGCACATGCCACTCCAAGAGTTTGTGAGCTGTCTTTACCAATTCCTCGAAAGATCAGAGAGAAGAAACTGGTCTAAAGTAATGACTTAATTTAAAAAAATAGATAAAAGGAAATAATGCTGTCTTAATGGAGGACTGTGCCTTTTTTTTTTTTTTTTGGTTAAAAATAGCAAAATACATATTAAGTCAAGAATGATGGTCTCCGATTAAAACAGCATTATTCATTTTTCTCAAGAGACTTGCTCATCATGTTTGAACTGTGATCATGTGATGAAAAGTGTAATCCAGATTACCTTTGCGAAAAAGATTTGAAAATTTCGGTTACACTGCAAATGCAGAATTTTGTTGTCATGGACTTTGAATATGTTTACTGTATTGTTTGGAAATTGTGGAAGATGTATGTCATGTTTTTGTCAGAGCTGTTTGAAGTCAATAATTGGAAGTATATCTCAACTGTTAAAAAAATAACTCAGACTGACTTTCAGTTAATAGATAACTTACTGTTCAGCAGAATTTTGAGAGAAAATGGATGAGATATGATAATTTGAAAATGGTTACATGTTCGTGGTTACAGTTGCTGCATAATATGATAATACTGCAAAGGAAAAACAGCTGTGAAAAGCATAATATAATACAATATTGATATGTACATTCATTTAAAAACAATGTCCCTTCGGATGTGCAATCTACGTCTTGTTTATGCACGCATTTTCACCTGCTTTGTCATTCACTCAAGAGTTTGTGTGCGTGCATGAGTCCCCGTGTGTGCATTCCACTGTATTAATTTGCTCAGTATTTTTGAGACGTTCTTCTGTATGCAATTTGCTCAAGTATTTTTTGTATGACTTTTGTAGTATTACAATACAAGTTGTCACATTTTTAGATTAAAATGTTAGTTGACTCTCTACTAGTTTAAGTTGCAGTATGTAGGTCTGATTATTTTGAACAAAATGTCAGTATTAGGTGGGTAGTTTAAGTTGAAATCATTATGAGAGTAAAAAGAGTTAAGAAAGCACTAACTGAGGGATGAATTGCTGTGCATAGGTTTAAAGGTCTTGTTTAGTGAAGAAGAAAATCTTAACAATGCAATACTAGATATATTACCAACACTTTGATAATACAAAGCACGTCTTCTTTTAGCTAATCAGTGTCTATTTTCTTTAAAGTTAAAATAGTAAAAGAAATACTAGTGATATATACATTTGCTCATTATTCTGCCAATTGCCTCTTTTCCTTTTTGCTCAAGATAAGTATAAGGTGAATGGCAAAGCTACTTATGTACTTGTGGTGTCAAAAGTATATCAAATGGCTATTTGTGATTGAACCTATGCAGTGATTTTTTGTCTCAGTGACAACTATGCATTGATAAGTGCCAGGGATGCCAATCAAATTACCTGACTTTAAGCCACACCCTCTTTTTTGCCATTTTTGATGTTGCCACGGCCCTTTAATGACATATCATGTCTCATTTGACATGCTGCAAACACCTTTTTCTCATGATACCAGTGAAATGATCTGAATGATATGCCAATCAAATTATTACTTGAAGCCACACCCTCTTTTTGCCAAATTTGGTGATGGCACACCCCTTTTGTGACACCTCATGTTTTTTGACATGTTGTAAGCACCGCCTCTTTTCCTCATTACACCAAGTCTGTATGACAAAATTACCTCATGGTGTTTTGCTTTCTTTCCACAGTGTCTTAGCCTCAACCCCTGTATTTCAATTATATCATTTTCCAAACCAGCTTTGTGATCTTATTTTTAGTGCTCAAAATAAATATTATTGTGACAAAGTCCTTTGCATTGTTAGTTTGTGATTTTATGCATTTTTTTTTTCAAACAGACATTGAAGTCTTACAGCATTTTGACTTTAAGTGCCAAAAATTCATAAACTGATAGAAGTTAACTTAAAAGTGGACGGTTGGTTAATAAATTTGCCTACTATACATAATATAGAAATCCTTTACAAAAAGACAAAGCCAAATCCCAACTGTGCTCTAAAAAGTATTTTTAAATGGTTTTTAGTTTACAGCTTAATTAATCATAACCACATAGAGTGATTTACAACTGCAGAAGTAAATAGTCATCAGTTATAGTAATAATTCAGAACAACATTCTTAGGTTCAGTACTCTTAGCTTCTAAACTTGAAGCATCATCTGATACAAATAAAATCAATAAAGCCCCAAAAGGATCAACTGCAATGAAAATATCCTCTGTTGAGCAGTTTCTGCTTTTTTTACTTCTCAAGTATTATATAATTATAGGCACATTGCACTGTTATGATAAATATATATTGTTTCATGCTAAAATCCAGCTGTGGAAGTTGTCTCTAGATTGTGATAGGTGTGATGTCTCTCCTGTCACAATGTGCTGGGATGTGAAACTGACCTCAACAAAGAAAACTTTTTTTTTATATTATTTTTATCTATTTATTTATTTATTGACAAAATTACTATTTAACACTCCTTTTTTATTTTAAGATTTTTGTTTTTTAAACACCACTCCTATAATGCAGATGGACTCTGGCGAGTTTCATTGGTAACAGAAAGAAATTCGATATTTCTAACTTGAAAGCAGGTTTTTAGTTTTGAATTTCCTCCACTTTTGGATGCCATATTAAAGGAAAATAGTTGGAATTTCTGGGAATATTCATTTTTTTCTTCACAAAATGTCTAACATGCACTGTAAACAATAAACAAATGAAAAGGAATTCTCTGCCAATCGCAACCAAGCAGATGATCTCAAACTTTTCATTTCTAAAGAATCATTCAAATAAGTTAACCAGCTGATCATATAAAGGGGTTGAAAATAAATATAACAATGTATGTAAGTATCAAATAATATTTATTTGATTACTTGAACACAACACAGTAAAATTATGTAAAATTAATTTATTCTTTTTTTATATGGAGGGGTTTAGAATCACATCACATTTTGACACCTGTTCAATAAGCTTTCTGTCTCCATTTCTTAAATGTACAAATATTTTGGTCTCTGCGAATCTAAGACTAATCAAACACCCACAAAATCTTCTTGAATTAAATATTAAAATAACTCGCAAATTCTCTCCGCTGATTACAAAACAATTAGAAGATAACAGCCTAACTAATATGTGTCTAGAATTATTTCTATTTTTTTTTTTCCTTTTTGGGGGCGACACAAAAACTTGTTTTAATGCTAACACCGGTTCTGTGTACATTCCATACATTATAGTAATACTATAATAAAAGCACCAGCAGGCAAATATTACTTAAAATACGGAACTTCATCTTTTTTCTCAGCTGAATCAAAACAAACTTTCCAACCAAGTCAACTTATTGTTTTTTTTTTTTTTTTTTTCTTTGGGGAATCTGCAAAATCATGTTTTCTCATTTTCTTCTACCAGATTATTTGCAGACAGTAATGCAAAAACAACATGCAAGCATTACCCCAATAAAGCAAAAAACTCAATAACCTGCAATCTTACGTTTTGATTTTCTTTAGATCCACAATTGTAACCTTAAGTTAGCCAAGTTAAGTGGTAATGAAAGCACACACAATATAGTCATAAATAAAAACACTATTATCATTACATCATAATGCATTAGAGTACAGAAGTGCATGAACATATGTATATCCTTATGTATTATCTTTTAACATATAATCACACAGAATGGCAGAATCAGCATATGTGCCCCACCCCCCAAAAAATTATTAAAAAAATCAAATAAATCAGTTATTAAATAAATCAATTGGTATAATGAGCGAAACGAAACAAAACAAAGCACTCTTTTTCAAACCCTGTGCAACTACATATCATGGAGAATAAAACTGCCCATCTCTACTGTTTTATGTTTGCCAAGAGAATCAAGACAAAAATTTATTACCCTT